TTTCTACTGAAGACAATTCAAATGCATTATATCCTTGCATATGGCAACATGTTCAAAGTCTGGATCTGCTAGCCACGATGAGAGGGCTTCAGGTGAGAGTTTGTGTACTTTTGCTATTCCTCCTCCATAGTTTGGGTTGCATGGCCACAATCGTGCTGTGGCTTGTCTTTCATGTTACATTTAATTACATTAATCAAACGTTTCATCAGTATTTTCTAAAACTGGATTATTATAATGTACGAGCCTTTTGCCCGTCCAATGACGGGTGTATTGCAGTAAATCTGAAAGTTGCAAGCGAAAAGCAGACCGCAACTTTATATTCATTGCATCAATGCGCGTGCAATTTGTAAGGGCGTGGTGAGAACAGACTTATTTAGTGTTAGGGTTATAATCCCTTGTTCATCATGACGTCCTTTTTACTTTGATGTCTCAACAGCGTTACGGAGATCACGTGACGTGAAGGCTCTGCCTTTGTAGTGAGGGTTGTGAGTTGACGCTAAGGAGGGAGGGGGAGGCGCCTCGCCCCCCCCCCCCATGTGGAGTGACGTCACCCACTAATTATTATTATTAATGGTGGGGGGGTGTCCATTTGGAGGACGTCACCGTTTCATGATTATTAATGAGGGGGGCTGTTCGATGTGGAGTGACGTCACCTGCTCAATAATATTCATGAGGGGGGGCGGGGGGTGCTGCATGTGGAGTGACGTCACCTGCTCATGATTATTAATGAGGGGGGGGTGGGTCCATGTGGAGGACGTCACCTTTCTAGATTTGAAGTTTTTGTGACTGCAATAATCCATACTCTTTGGTTATTTCGGTAGAGTCACGGACGTAAAAATAAAATAAAGTTAATCAAATCACGACGTTTCGGAGGCAACGCAAGCCTCCGTCATCAGGTGCGACTAGCACAGCACCTGATGACGGAAGCTTGTGTTGCCTCCGAAACGTCGTGATTTGATTTAGTTGTTTTATTTTATTTTACCTACGTGACTTTACTGAAAGAACCAAAGAGTATAGGACGTCGCCTTAGCATGTAGGGGGAGACAAAGAGAGATGGAGAAGCACACTAAATCGAGCAAGATTTAGTAAAATTTGGAAACAATATAATGCAACACAGAGGGTCGGTCAAAACACAATTAACGCATGGTCTGGCTGATTGTACCCCTCCCCACGCTACCCCGCGGTCCCTTTCTCCTTCGTACCTGAGTCAGTCCCTTTGTACATGCTAATTTGTATCCCTTTATCTCTCAGTCCCCGCCCCCACCTCTCCCTCTGTTTAAGGCTTCGGCACAGAGACACTGTTTCACTGTGTCCCATATGTGTGTCTCTCTCTGTATGTCTCTGTGCTAACTCTCTCTGCTTAGATGTCTATATATGTGTCTGCGATCTGTATTCTATCACTCTCTAAAATTTAGCAATCCTTAGAGGAACGTAATCAGCCAGGTAGAGTGTTGGCTGTTATGTTGGCCGGCTATCTACGCTGTATTGTTTTATATTCCTCTCTGTGTGTCTGCTTCTTCTCTCTCTACCTGTATGTCTGTCTTTGTGTCTCCGTATATGTGTCTTATCTCTCTCGCAAATTTCACACACTTAACTTATAATTTAGCAATCTTTGAAATAACGTAATCAACCAGACCATGCGTTAATTGTGTTTTGACCGACCCTCTGTGTTGCATTATATTGTTTCCAAATTTTACTAAATCTCGTTCGATTTAGTGTGCTTCTCCATCTCTCTTTGTGTCCCCCTACGTGCTAAGGCCTCGGCACAGAGACCCTGTCTCTCTGTGTCCCATACGTTGTGTCTCTCTTTGTGTCTCTGTGTTATCTCCCTCCACTTCGGTGTCTGTATGTATGTCTGCGGTTCTGTGTTTCCTCTCTTAAATTTAGCTCTTCTGTGCCTGATGATGATTGCTTGCGTTGCAATCGAAACGTCGCATGCTATTATGTAATGTTATTATTATTTCTTATTTCTATGTGACTTTTACCGAAAAAAACAAATAGTAATTCCTGCAGCCACGAAAGCGCCAAATCATCTTGTTTTTTTTTTTATTTCACGGGAAACGTGTCTCTCCCTGAACCTCACAGGAGACCGGTGTGCGTCGACTGAATCACAATGTTTCATGATCCAAATATTCCGTGCCATAGTCCGGCCGACAATTTTAAGCAAAGAGAGCCAATACGTACAAGTGCCTGTTTGTATATTGCACCCAATGTCACTGGGACTTTGCTTGGCTGGAATGGCTCCACTAGCCTCCCTTTGTTTGTGCCGCTGTCGGTCTTAGAACCTTAGTTACAAGCTATTCCGTAGCTCCGTGTTTGCGTGGTTTAAAGCCTACGTGTTCAACTGTAGCTTATAATTTGCGCGTGAGAGCATCCATTAGTTGTGATGATAGTGACAGTGATTATTTAATTGTGATGACAATGATGATGATGATTATGAATATCAATGTACTTGTATTTGACAACCTATTCACAGTCATATTATTGGTTCTTTCGGTAAAGTCACGTAGATAGAATCTATGGATTCCTGCGGGTACAAAATTTAAAAGTAAAATTTTTTACCTATTTGCACACTATAACAGCATCCAGATATTACATTTTCTTTCATGTTCATATTTTTAATAAAGTATGTTAATACAGAAAATGCATTCTCCCCATAGTTGTAACTTATGTTTTATGCTTCTTTCACAAAAAAAACCCTCTGAAAAAGTTGTTTCAAGGCGTAATTGCCGCAGGCCCTTATTATACAGTGAGGGAAACAAGTATTTGATCCCCTGCTGATTTTGTACGTTTGCCCACTTACGAAGAGTGTGCTCCTAATCTCAGCTGGTTACCTGTATAAAAGACACCTGGGAGCCAGAAATCTTTCTGATTGAGAGGGGGTCAAATACTTATTTCCCTCATTAAAATGCAAATCAATTTATAACATTTTTGACATGCGTTTTTCTGGATTTTGTTGTTGTTATTCTGTCTCTCACTGTTCAAATAAACCTGCCATTAAAATTATAGACTGATAATTTCTTTGTCAGTGGGCAAACGTACAAAATCAGCAGGGGATCAAATACTTTTTTCCCTCACTGTACACGTAATGAGTTTGAGAGGTATTAATGCAGTTCTGGGAGTGAGGAGTCGGTAAGCTGTTGTCATCAGAGATTATGGAGATGACATCACTGGGATTAACGCTGCGTTTGCCCCGTCAGAAAATTGAGCCAAAGCCGCTACGTTCCACTCCCTGGGCCCCCATTAAAGTTTAAACCATTTTGTCCAACAATCCTGTCAACAGTATCGTTATTAAATAAAATGACTGCCTGCCTGGTGTTTGTTGCATTTGTCAACGAGTCGGGTTTACGCCTTAGCATTTCAACTCGCGCAAACTCCTCGTAATTTGTGCGGGAATTACCAAACCACAACATCTTCTGTAAAATGCTTCTTCAAGACTGTACGGTGTCGTTCAGAGTTGTCATATTGCAATGTCATAACGCCAAAGAAAACGTTTAAGTATCCTATACTGTTTGTTATGAAATAGTGGCTTTGTATTTTAATTGAACCCAGGAATGCATCACCAAGTGGATTATATAACAAAAATGTCAATCAGTAAATATGATTTACTTAATTCTTAGGCCTCATGGTGTATAAACCGCTGTCTTAAAATGCTTATCCAATCTACCCCTCTGGCCTCTGTATGTGCTGTGCGGAAGGGATATTTCCCGAAACGTCACCTATCATATTTGTTTATTTATTTTTAAGACAGTGTTACTGATGAATGTGTTGGGTTATTTTCTTATTTCTGCTTGTGCACCACTGACAATGCACGTTATCATTTCGATTTAAAGCTTTCGTGACTGCAGGCATTCATATTCTTGGTTCATTCGGTAAAGTCACCACGTAGAAGGGAAATAATAAAATAAAAATATAATAAAATTCTCACGACGTTTCGGCCACAACACTACGGTGGTAGTTGTTGTCTTTCCGTCGTGAGAATTTTATTTTGTGATGTTTTATTATTTATAATTTTATTATTTCCCTTCGACGCGACTTTACCGAAAGAACCGAGAAAATTGTATTATCACCAAATACTATTTTAAATAGTCCCTATTGTGTCCCAAATCTCCCTTTCAAAATGATAATTATAATAATAATAATTTCGCATGACTTAGGAAAGTCAAAGGCTGATTAAGGTTTCTACTTTTTGAGATGTTTTGCCGGTTATTTGCACTTTCATGAGATATGAGAGATATTGAATCTCAATCGGCCTCTCACGTGGTTAAAAGACATTGATAATTTAATAAAAGTAAATAACACCCATATAATATTATATTCATGTGCACATATTTGCGAAAATAAATATTCTACTTGTGTTTTAAAGACGTGTGGCTAAATATGCTCAACGTAGCACAGGGTTTGCAAGTCAAATCGTGGCGAAAACTTCCCTTGCAATAACACGTGAACGAAAACCCATTGGCTCTTTGCACACTGGGTCCCACCACGTGTCACATGCTGTGTTGAGCCTGAGTAGGGACGAAAGAATCAACAGCAATCAAGACGAGCTCTCAACTGTGTCGGCTCCGCATGTCTGGATTGTGTTCATACTCCTTGGGTTTTTTCGGTAAAGTCACGTAGGTGAAACAAAATTAAAATAAAAGAAAACAACTAAATCAAATCACGACGTTTCGGAGGCAACACAAGCTTCCGTCTTCAGGTGGAACAGTCACAGCAAGATAGCTGCATCAAGTGACTGCTGTGACTGTTCCACCCGAAGACGGAAGCTTGTGTTGCCTCCGAAACGTCGTGATTTGATTTAGTTTTATTTTATTTTACCTACGTGACTTTACCAAAAATAAACAAAGAGTATGAATCCTTGCAGTCACGAAAGCTTCAAATTTAGAATGGATTGTATTCGTTTGGCAATGGTGGGAATGTGCTGCTGAGTGAGTCGTGCGTGGCGAGTGGAGTGTGTTGGGACCGTGCTGACCCCCTGCACCTCTGCCCTGGGTCCTCAGTTTCGGCAGAAGACCCAGGACTCGGACATCCCAAGGACAAGAATTAAGCGGAGCATCAGCCTCCAACACATCCCCCTGCACAGCCAAATGTACGCGTGAGACAGAGGGTCCTCTACTTCTCTGTTCAGGTTTCTATCTATTTGCCGACGGTGACGTAATTCTGTTCTGCCCGGTGCCCCTGCAGGTAACTTCCACAAAATTAAACATTGTCCGTAACGCAACTGACATGATGCTATGTATATTGAACGAGTATAAACAGGCCCTTCTCCTGACAATATCTTTTTGTTGCTGCCTTGAAGGGATGGATTAAGTTTAGAATTCACGTTTCCTCGTTATAATACAGTCACAATTGTAACTGTAGTGGAAGTTATCTTATTCGCAACGGCCAGGGCGACTTTATCGAGCAGAATTGTGCATAAGGGACGTTAACCTTCCTATTAATTGAAGACACTGCGCCTCTTATCTACAAATATTGTTTTCAATGCTCGCAGATGATCGGCCGACTTAGTCTGTGCCAGAGATCTGAGACTGCGGTCATACAGTGAAATGTTGCGTAATGTGCTCCACCACACCGCTGCAGCAGTGGCTCAAGGTGGTCAGCAGCCTCAACATCGTCACAAGTATCACGCAATATCGATCTCCATTACATTTGTCAGTGCCCTTCATTGGCTTTGTGCATTGCAGCCTTCATTTTCACCTCAATAATCCTCTTCATAATCATCTTTCCGTTATCTTGCGGCGAGTCGTGGATATTAGGTTGAATTTTTCCGAGCGGCAGCGTGCGCGGTGGTTGTGGCCGCATTGGCAGATCGTGGAGATAGCGGATAGGACAACAGCATCTTCAACCATCGTCGCCATCAGCACCATGGATCGTGGTTATCCGTGGATAGCTGCAGATGATGGTCTGAAGTTGTTCATGCAGTTACGGTGTATCGTAATATCTGTTATCTTATCATCATTATCATCATCCAGTAGCATCTCCACCAATCCTGGAATATAGGCGCCACCAGCGCTCCTCGCTCCTCGTACACTGCGGATAACGTCATGGATTTAGCAGGCAAACTGAAACTCCTTCGTCTAATCCATGAACATCAAATATAATAGCAGTGCTGATCCTCGGATAATGCGAAGAATTGTGGCTTGGCCTCACCCCATAGGCATTAGACGTTACGCATAAGAGGGAAGCAGATATATTTTTCAACGTATAGTTTGAGGTGGCTTTATCTTGAGTCAGTTCTCCTGAGGTACAATCATGGACAGCGTACTTTTGCCCGTTTGGCTCCAAAATTATGGAATTGTCCCATCAATTATTGCCAAGCAAACCATGCATTACATTCAAGGTTGTTCTAAAGGTCACTTGTTCTAGTATCTTCTAGGAAAAAGCACTGCTTATGAAGATAGGACACAGTAGCATAGTGGCATATTGGACATGTGTTATTGAACAGCGTGGCTGCTGCTGTAGTTGTGTCCCAGCTGCAGGAGTTGTTGAGTCACACCTTGGTGAAGGCAATGGAGTGGCGAGCACGTGCCGGCTGCTGTGCCGTGGAAAGCACTGCACGAATAACACGTTGATGGGAAATACGCACATGAACATTTCAGAGTGTGTTTAAAAAGGTTCCCAATGAGTTTAAATGATCATAGCTCAACTTTAATAATTGATTTAAAAAAATGAAATCCAAGTCCTAGATGTGAGCATTGCTCAAACCCACATTGGGCCATAATATATTTCAGAACATTGAGTCTGTAGTCACCGGGGGAACTGTTAGTTCTTGCAAAAACATTTCTGAAGTGCTGTTTTTATTTACAATGTCTTGCACATCCGTGTAAATAAACTAAACTAAACTTTTATTTTATTTTACCAGGTAAAGGCCCACTGAGCTAAATAATTAATTTTCAGAAGCAACCTGACCACAACGAAGTGGCCAATCACGTGGTTAATGTATAGCAGCCAAATATATTTTAAATGCGTGTTTCTCATTGGTATGGGTAATGGCTGTTAACAAGCTCTCAGGGTCACACTTAAAGTGATGTGTGGGCTTTCGCAAAGTGGAGAGGGGCACTGCACGGACCGTGCGCCGGGGCCTGTTGGGACAGGACAGTAAAGTATTCTGCCCCGTTGATGGCAGCTGGTCCCACGCGTAGCTGCCCCGTGGCGCTCCCTGCATTATGCATGGGGGAGCAGCCATTGTGAGAAGCCCAGGTAACGGCGGGCTGCCTACGGCACGTTAGACTGCAGAATCGAACTCGGGAAACAGCACGGCCCGTAGGGAGCAGTTGCGTCAGACATAACGGCACTTCCATAATTGTGCTCGGATAGGTGAGTTAGAACCACGCCACGGATAGTGTTGATGAGGTAGAACCAACACCACGGATAGTGTTGATGAGTTAGAAGCACACCGCGGATAGTATTGATGAGTTAAAACCACACCATGGATAGTGTTGATGAGTTAGAACCAACACCATGGATAGTGTTGATGAGTTAGAACCAACACCATGGATAGTGTTGATGAGTTAGAACCACACGACGGAGAGTGTTGAAGAGTTAGAACCACACCGCGGATAGTGTTGATGAGTTAGAACCAACACCACGGATAGTGTTGATGAGTTAGAACCAACACCACTGATAGTGTTGATGAGGTAGAACCACGCCACGGATAGTGTTGATGAGTTAGAACCAACACCACGGATAGTGTTGATGAGTTAGAACCAACACCACGAATAGTGTTGATGAGGTAGAACCACGCCACGGATAGTGTTGATGAGGTAGAACCACGCCACGGATAGTGTTGATGAGGTAGAACCAACACCACGGATAATGTTGATGAGTTAGAACCAACACCACGGATAGTGTTTATGAGTTAGAACCACACCACAGATAGTGTTGATGAGTTTGAACCAACACCACGGATAGTGTTGATGAGTTAGAACCAACACCACGGATAGTGTTGATGAGTTAGAACCACACCACGGATAGTGTTGATGAGTTAGAACCAACACCACGGATAATGTTGATGAGTTAGAACCAACACCACGGATAGTGTTGATGAGTTAGAACCACACCACGGATAGTGTTGATGAGGTAGAACCACACCACGGAGAGTGGTGATGACTTAGAACCACACCACGGATAGTGTTGATGAGTTAGAACCACACCACGGATAGTGTTGATGAGTTAGAACCACACCACGGATAGTGTTGATGAGTTAGAACCAACACCACGGATAGTGTTGATGAGTTAGAACCACACCACGGATAGTGTTGATGAGCTAGAACCACACCACGGATAGTGTTGATGAGTTAGAACCAACACCACGGATAATGTTGATGAGTTAGAACCAACACCACGGATAGTGTTGATGAGTTAGAACCACACCACGGATAGTGTTGGTGAGCTAGAACCACACCACGGAGAGTGTTGATGACTTAGAACCACACCACGGATAGTGTTGATGAGTTAGAACCACACCACGGATAGTGTTGATGAGTTAGAACCACACCACGGATAGTGTTAATGAGTTAGAACCAACACTACGGATAGTGTTGATGAGTTAGAACCACACCACGGATAGTGTTGATGAGCTAGAACCACACCACGGATAGTGTTGATGAGTTAGAACCACGCCACGGATAGTGTTGATGAGTTAGAACCAACACCACGGATAGTGTTGATGAGTTAGAACCACACCACGGATAGTGTTGATGAGTTAGAACCACACCGCGGATAGTGTTGATGAGTTAGAACCACACCGCGGATAGTGTTGATGAGTTAGAACCAACACCACGGATAGTGTTGATGAGCTAGAACCACGCCACGGATAGTGTTGATGAGTTAGAACCAACACCACGGATAGTGTTGATGAGTTAGAACCAACACCACGGATAATGTTGATGAGTTAGAACCAACACCACGGATAGTGTTGATGAGTTAGAACCACACCACGGATAGTGTTGATGAGTTAGAACCACACCACGGATAGTGTTGATAACTTAGAACCACACCACGGATAGTGTTGATGACTTAGAACCACACCACGGATAGTGTTGATGAGTTAGAACCAACACCATGGATAGTGTTGATGAGTTAGAACCACACCACGGATAGTGTTGATGAGTTAGAACCAACACCACGGATAGTGTTGATGAGTGAGAAACCAACACCACGGATAGTGTTGATGAGTTAGAACCACGCCACGGATAGTGTTGATGAGTGAGAAACCAACACCACGGATAGTGTTGATGAGTTAGAACCACACCACGGATAGTGTTGATGAGTTAGAACCAACACTACGGATAGTGTTGATGAGTTAGAACCACACCACGGATAGTGTTGATGAGCTAGAACCACACCACGGATAGTGTTGATGAGTTAGAACCACACCACGGATAGTGTTGATGAGTTAGAACCACACCGCGGATAGTGTTGATGAGTTAGAACCACACCGCGGATAGTGTTGATGAGTTAGAACCAACACCACGGATAGTGTTGATGAGCTAGAACCACGCCACGGATAGTGTTGATGAGTTAGAACCAACACCACGGATAGTGTTGATGAGTTAGAACCAACACCACGGATAATGTTGATGAGTTAGAACCAACACCACGGATAGTGTTGATGAGTTAGAACCACACCACGGATAGTGTTGATGAGTTAGAACCAACACCACGGATAGTGTTGATGACTTAGAACCACACCACGGATAGTGTTGATGACTTACAACCACACCACGGATAGTGTTGATGAGTTAGAACCAACACCATGGATAGTGTTGATGAGTTAGAACCACACCACGGATAGTGTTGATGAGTTAGAACCAACACCACGGATAGTGTTGATGAGTGAGAAACCAACACCACGGATAGTGTTGATGAGTTAGAACCACGCCACGGATAGTGTTGATGAGTGAGAAACCAACACCACGGATAGTGTTGATGAGTTAGAACCACACCACGGATAGTGTTGATGAGTTAGAACCACACCACGGATAGTGTTGATAAGCTAGAACCACACCACGGATAGTGTTGATGAGTTAGAACCACACCACAGATAGTGTTGATGAGTTAGAACCACACCACGGATAGTGTTGATGA